CTCTTCTATATACATACCAAATTTCAGATCGATATCTCGTTTTTTGGCCAAGGTATAGCGAAAAAACTGTTCAAAAATGATGACGTCAAATTTTTGAACTCAATTTTTAGCGATTCTAGACCACGTACGGCAAAACAAAGACCACCATTGAACTCCCCGTGACGAGCTGCATCGATTCGATACCCATTATATGCAAAAATATTAACTTTGAAATTTGACCTAATTTGACCTGACCTTGACCTGACCTTGACCTGACCTTGACCAAAACGTGACCTAAGCTGGCCCCAAAGGCTGCCTGACCCACATAATCGCATTTGTCATGTAAAATGGACCATAAAACATGTATCACACGACACTTTCATATTGTGACCCCCCCGTGACCTGACCTCTGTGACCTGACCTGGTATCAGTGACCTCAAATAGCAAAATATGTGTTTGAAGAACATTTCCCCATCGATGATTTTCAATGAAATGCATTTTACTCGATTTTACAACGCATTTCTTGAAATGCCTGTAAACGGTGAAAATTGGACCTTTGACCTGACCTGTGACGTCATCGGTTTGACCTAGGTCAATAAAATTGGGTCACAAGGTAGTTCCCCTTTGGGGCTATCCAACGCCTTTTACCGCTCGTCGCTATGTTGCGTGGTTCTCGAGATCTTAGGGGGGGCCAAAATGGCCCCCCCCAACCGGGCGCGTTGCTCGGCAGAGCCCAACGGGGCGCGGGTTAACATTAGATTTGAGTTGAGATAGCCAAAATGGGGTCCCTGGCTCACAATTGCCGGTTTCGGCACTCACAACATCGAGAAATGCCTTAAAGGGACTATCCCACCTTCTAAAATGTTGTTAAAACCAGTTAAATTGTGCCCGACTTTATAGATTGGATGACCAGGAACACGGTTCTGGCATTTATTTTTCATTAAACATCTTAGGCTTCCCATATTCCAAACACAAACTTTCAAATATGTGACGTCACAGCCCAAAATTACCTCCTTCCCCAGGCCACATTACTGTCATAAAGCCGATTCTTTTTACTCTGTAGGCACCACAACAAAGTTCAGACCAAGTTTTAAGCGATTTTTCAACGAACAAACCCATTTAAATCAGAATGACTAAACGAGGTGACGTCACACTAACGGTCGCTCCATGTTGAAGATAGGGCCTTGTACAAGGCCCATTTTCAAATGAAAGGAACGAATTTCTTCAACACCAAGAGGCCGCGGGGGTTGCAACCTAGATAGATAGTGGTTTCTGAACCTCGCCGCAAACTTGGCTATCTCAACTCAAACCCCATGTTAAAGGTGGGATAGTCCCTTTAAATCGGAAATATTGAATTTCAAAATTGCAGCATTTTGATTCAGAGGGGCTAATGTTTAGGAATACCCCTCTGAATGTGTGACGTCAGCGCAAATATCTAACGATTTTTAAATGTTTGACTAAAACGTTTTGTACCACGCGGTGGTATATGCTATTTGCGCGCAACATCTGCCGCAAACGCCGCACTTCTCAAATAAAGTCGCTAGAAACAGCGGAGATCCCAAAAAAAGTAAACAAAAGTAAAAGCCTAATATTTTGAAAACCGGTGAATATTTTTCGGTGAAATTTGGTAGAAATTCGTTTTCGCTCTTTCTGAACCAAGCGACATCACTTTCATACCAATTCATAAACTTTTTTGAAGGTGGGAGGGTCCCTTTAAGTTGTGTAATAACAGTGCACAACGTACCTATCGAATGTTTTATAGCTCAATAGCGTTTTTCTTACTATACCCGGATAGTATCGGTAGTTTTCAGACAATGAACTCGCTCTATACATGAACAGAAGTGAGTGAACTGATGCGAGGTAAACGCAAAGTTGTGTAATAATAGTGCACAACGTACCTACCTATCGAATGTTTTATAGCTCAATAGCGTTTTTCTTACTCTTCCCGGATAGTATCGGTAGTTTTCAGACAATGAACTCGCTCTACATGAACAGAAGTGAGTGAACTGATGTGAGGTATAAACGTAAAGTTGTGTAATAATAGTGCACAACGTACCTTTCGAATGTTTTATAGCTCAATAGCGTTTTTCTTACTATTCCCGGATAGTATCGGTAGTTTTCAGACATTGAACTCGCTCTACATGAACAGAAGTGAGTGAACTGATGTGAAGTAAATGGTGACAGTTCTGGCCTGCGCCAGTGGCCTGAAAACTAAGCTGAGAGGTTTGAACGAAGGGACTGCTCACACCGGACTCGAGCCTCACATTTTCGCTGCTCATTTGCGCTTTCGTTTTCGAAAAGATTTACTTTTCTCTTACTTATCTGTTTAATGTCACAAACCTTAATTTCAACAATTTGCCGACCTCGTTGAACCATAAAAATGCACGAGTAGAGAGTTCGTTTGTATAGACAGATAGAGACAAACAATGCATCGGCAGATAACGGTGACTCGAGAGGCTCACCGAAGGATATTTATTATTTATCCAGGCCATATAAAACGACATAAACCATCTCATTGCTGATGATATGTACATAGTAACAATATCGACTGCCGTGCTCCCTCTTTCTATGCCATAGTTTGCACTTACATCCACTTCATGCAGATGAGCAGTTGCAGTCGCTGCCGCTAACATCGTACCCTGAACCGCAGCCTAGGTCATGACCGCGCCACGGCTGCCGGCCCGCTCCGAACCAGCCCTCGTTCGCTGCCCTGCCCTGCCCTGACCATCCCACGGCGCCCGGCCCTAGTAGCTGAAGTCGCCGCTGCCGCTGCCTGTCCGCTCTATGACACACCTTGTATGCTGCCCTGCCCCGGACATCCTATCCTACCAGGCCCGCCCTAGAAGAAGAAGTCTCCGCTGCCGCTGCCGCTGCCCTGGTCGATGTCAGGTTCAGAGTCGAGGTCGAGCGGCAGCAGGTCACCGATGACAGACAGGTCCTCGGCGCGCTCCGGCTGGGTGTACAGCAGCCGCTCCATCATCGCGATGCTCAGCTCCAGACGTGGCTGCAGGCTCCGGTACATGTCGAGCAGCGTGCGGATCAGCATCTGGAGGCCGCTGCCGCGCCGCCGACCGCTATGGTGCAGGATGCGCGCCTCCTGCTGCAGCATCGGCGCCTCCTGCTGCAGGATCGGCGGCTCCTGGAGCGGGATCAGCGACTCCTGTTGCAGGACTGGCGGCTCCTGAAGTGAGATTGCAGGCTCCGAGGTGGTGTGGGGACTGGCTTCAGCGGGCCGCGGCGCCACAGCGGCACCCAGCAGACACGCCAGCACCGACAGACAGACGGACCGCATGGCGGCAAAGCTGAGACGAGTGGATGGCGACCGGATGGCGGCGACTGGTTTTATAGGACGGACGGTTTCCGCAGCCAGGAGGGCGCCGGAGGGTAGGAAGGACGACGGTCCTGCGGCAGAGGGGCGGAGGGTGGGTAGGGAATACGGCAGAGCGGCAGAGTGTGAGGAAGTTACTACGACAGGACGGAGGGTGGAGAGGGTTTTGGCAGAGAAGCAGAAGAACGAAAAAGGACAACACAAGAAGGAATATGTTTAATCTGGCGAATGACACTGGAGATGCACTCGACATGCAGAATTAACCCGCGCCCCGCTGGGCTATTCAGCCATACGCGCCCTGCTGCGGGGGGGGGGCAGATTCTGCCACCCCCCTGTCTAACTTCCGAACCGATGGTCGTAGAAAGACGGGGGAAACGGCAATCGAAAGCTCTTAACAAGGCGGATCTTAAGAGCCGATTTTTTTGTGCTTAAGTAGGTCAGAGGTCAGGTCAAGGTCAGGTCAAGGGTACAAAGGCAAGTTTCTACATAATCGGCCTTGCACCGTAGTTGCCGAAGAATGGACTGAGACTGATTGACCAAAACGTGTTCATAGGCTACCAGGACAATATTCGTTGCATACAATATTATGCAAAGGTAAAGGTCAAGGTCAGGTCAGGTCAGGTCACCAAAAACCAAATATAGAAAAGGGCATGTGCGACACATGTTTTATGGGCCATTTTATTCATATGGCCTATTGAATTCTATAGAATTCAATAGGCACACTCAATAAGTGATATGAACCACATCTGTATGAAATTCAGGTCGAGGCCAGGTCAAGGTTACTACCAATAGGCTGAGACTATTTATAGGTTACTGCCGAGGTGACTTACAGGTTACTATTACAGTAACTTACTGGTTTTCTTTTATGTAACCAATGGTTCCATAAAAGGCACGTTTTCATTGCTTATGCTGAATGTATGAAGTTCAGCGGTTCCGATCGATGAGTGAGGTAACTTAACTGTTTCTTCGTGCTTACTTCTATACATTACTCGATGTTTCCGTGACGAAACCAATAATCAATTCCGTGACTCACCCGTGACCCACACGTGACCTGCCCCGAGATCCGCCGTGACCCACGATCGGTCATTGATCGCTCACCCATCGGACGCCGATCGTATCGATCAATGATCGGTCATCATTGATCGCTCACCCATCGGACGCCGATCGCCCACAGCCTATCACCACGCGTTTAAATCCCCGCTGCAGTTGTTTTGTACCTACCTGTTATACGTCTCACGCAATGCCGTGACCGGACCGATAGACGCCGTGGCGGTCAGTACCGGGCGTGTCGTGATGCGGGCGTGATTGCTGGATGGCCCTCTCGGTCACACACGATTCGCCGTTTGTTATGATGAGGATAACTAACTACAGTTGGCGCTAAAGTGTCGCTGTGATAAGTGTTGTCTTCCTGGCAAAACAGCGAAGATCGTATAAACAAAACGGCCTAGATGCGTCCTGCCGCTGAACGCACATGAAAAGGCTTGAGATAAAGTGGAATATTGATGTCAGTAAATATGATTTTTAGATGGCTTGGCGCCTATTTGAGCTTAGGCTGGGCCTTTCATCATACGAACTTCATTCTTTGTCCTCTACAGTAGTAGAGCTCTACTGTAGTCCGTTTCGCTCGGCCGTTGTGCCCGATACCTATGGTTTTATTTCGTGGGAGATTTGGTGAACAAAGTCAGAACATACATATATTCAGGAACGATTTTATTCGGAAATTTTTTATTACAGACTTTGCACACTCAGATAATGCTTAGCATTACCACCCATGCGATAATGACGACGTGTTCAGGGCAGAGGGTAGTTGGCGTCGGTGGCCACGCCGCACTGGTTGCCGGCGTTCCTGCTCATCTTGATGTAGCCGTCCATACCCCAGCTGGCGCCCCACGAGTTCTTGACGAGCCAGTAGTCCTGGCCGTTCTCGGTGCCGTAGCCGGCGGCCAGCACGCCGTGGTCCAGCTCGTTGTAGCCGTTCATGCAGCGAGGCTCGTCGTACACGCCGCTCGAGTACAGCTGGAACGAAAAGTGCGAGGCGTCGATGGCGATGGCGATGGGTCCGATGTTGGAGACGGCGTCCTCCAGCTCGGACTCGTCGCCCTCGGAGATCTGCACCCAGGAGGAGATCTTGGCGGCCGCCTTGGCCGGGTCGTAGTTGCAGTGCAGGTGCGACGACATGGTGTAGGGGTAGTCGTCCTCAGACATGATGCCGCCCTCGTCCTGGATGTACTGGAAGGCCTCAGACTCGAAGCCACCGTTGCAGGCCAGGTTTCCGTAGCTGCCGGCCAGCGTTGAGGCAAAGTCAGACGAACGTATCGTGCAGGGATATGGAATGATCTATGTCAAAGAGCAATAAATGAAAATAGTCTGATTACCTCGATCTAACTGAAGCAAAAAGCAATTAAATTTTCCACTTTCCAGTAATACAGCCGTGCTTGCGCTAAACCAGCTTTACTAACAAAGGTGAAGGCGGATGGGTCAACTCGGAATCAGGAGATCAAGAGATGCGAGCATAGGTAACTGGACATCAAAATGCATCGGAACTACATGCATGTCAGAAGATTTTTGGCCTATGTAATATTTTACACAAGCCTATCTTAGATCCTACATTAGAACAGAGAAACACAGAGCAGAAACGAGAATAGTGGTAGGAGATGGGATGTTGTCCTCAGACAACAAAAGCTTGATATTAACATGAGGTATCGTGGAGGTGCGCTCAAGCAGATGACTTGCCTGTAGGAGCAGTCCATGAGCTGCTGCTCGCTGAGCGCAATCAGCGGGTTTCCAGCCAGGGCCCACATGCCCTCCACAGCGCCGGTGGTCGAGAAGGCCCAGCACGAGCCGCACTGGCCCTGGTCCTTGACGGCGGTGACGGCGCCAGCCTCACGCCAGTCCTTGGTGGCCTCAGTGACGCCCCTCTTCATGTGCTTGACGGACGCCTTCAGGCCGCGCCTCTCGGCCGCCCTGTGGCCGAGCAGCTGGCGGTACTCGGCGTTGGTGAGGTCGGCGAACTTGTTGACGCCCAGCTTGAAGGAGTGGTTGCCGGCGTTGTGCTCGGCGATCAGGCGCTGGTTGTCCTTGAAGATGGCCAGACGGGCGGCCTCCTCGGCGGGGTGCGAGTATGCCTTGCCATGGGTGCTCTGAGGAGGATGCATGTGCTCGCTAAAAGCGCTGTCTGAATTTATTTTTTATTAACCCTCACCCGTACAAGGAGGGAAAGTCAAATGGACCCCCTCGGTGCTTCGCAAATAACTCACGTAAAAAGCGGCCGATCGCAGCAAAACTTTGAGTACCCTCGAGTCAATAAATTGTACACCTACCCTTAAAATTTCCTGACCTTGACCCAAATGACCTTTGACCTGTGACCTATTTCTCGAGACCATGTTCGGCCGGAATTACGATTCCGCGTATGTCTGCTCGCATTAGCCGCGCGTTTGCAGTCTTTTTGCGGTTTCAAGCGTTCGGACATGTGATTTGATGTTGGTCCCATGCATTATGGTGAATGTCAAGGTCACCTGAAGGTCAGGTCAGGTCATTAACTTTTCATGACCTCGGTTCACTTTTTCGACTTTTACATGTTTTTAGGCTAGTTCTTGGAGCTGATTTCGAATTTAGCAACCATTTGAACATTTACGAAATAGTTTTGGTGCCTTCGTAACATGTTATGAAGCTGTCAGTAGCAGTTGACATGTAGGTACTATAAATGCCTGGCAAAACACCTACTGGTTGACCTGATCTGACCTGACCCGACCTGGCCTAAATGCGTGAAGACATCATATGTGATCAAAATTTACATGAAATTCGTGATCAGCAACCCGAAAAACCCCGCGGTTACCTCGCTTTACGACGTTCTAACAGGTCCAGATTTTCGTGACTTTTGGGTTATTGGCCTGACCCGGAAAGTCAACCAATGACCTAGGACCTTAAAATTGGGCAGCACCAGCCTCCTCTCGTCACGGACAACACGCTCATTTTTTCCACTAAGCTTAATCTCGATCAGGGCCAAACGACAAGGGGGTCCAACGGACCCCCCCCCCCCCTTCGAGGTTGGCGAAACACCAATACGGGCGAGGGTTAAGGGATAGTCGCGAATTGATTTATCCTCGCGGAATACAATTTAAAGAATTAGTTCATTTAATAAGGATGCATTGAGTACTGATCATATTTAAAGGGACCCTCCCACCTTAACATTAGATTTGAGTTGAGATAGCCAAATTGGGGTCCCTGGCTCACAATTACCGGTTTCGGCACTCACAACATCGAGAAATGCCTTAAATCTGAAATATTGAATTTCAAAATTGCAGCATTTTGATTCAGAGGGGCTAATGCTTAGGAATACCCCTCTGAATGTGTGACGTCAGCGCAGATATCTAACGATTTTTAAATGTTTGACTAAAACGTTTTGTAGCACGCGGTGGTATATGCTATTTGCGCGCAACATCTGCCGCAAACGCCGCACTTCTAAAATGAAGTCGCTAGAAACAGCGAGATCGCAAAAAAGTAAACAAAAGTAAAAGTCTAATATCTTGAAAACCGGTGAATATTTTTCGGTGAAATTTGGTAGATATTCGTTTTCGCTCTTTCTGAACCGAGCGACATCACTTTCATGCCAATTCATCTTTTTTGAAGGTGGGAGGGTCCCTTTAAACTTGAAGAACGCTTACATCAGTAATTCATCGGGAATTCATATCGTTAAATCCTACTCAGAGTTTGCGCAAGAGGAAATCTTTTTTCTTGTTTTTTTTTTTTTGAAGAGTGAAAGGTGCCAGTTGCAGTGCTAAGAATTGATACATTTATTGAGTGCATTGACAACTTTAACTCTCGCCGGCACAGGGGGGTTGATGCAATCCCCCTAAGGTTTTTTCGCGAATAACTCGCGTAAAAAGCGGCTGATCGCGACGAAACTTTCAGTTCCCTCTCATTTATCAATTTTACACCTAATCTGAAAATTTCACGACCCAAATGACCTTTGACCTGTGACTTACTTTCCGAGACCATGTTTGGCCGGAATCGCGATTGGGCGTATGTCGGCTCGCATTAGCCGCGCATTTGCAAGCTTTTCGTGGTTTCAAACGTTCAAACATGTGATTTGATGTTGCTCCCATGCATAAGGGTGGATGTCAAGGTCACCTGAAGGTCAGGTCAGGTCATTGACCTTTGGTGACCTTGGCTCTCTTTTTTGACTTTTACATGTTTCTAGGCTAGTTTTTGGAGCTGATTTCGAATTTAGCAACCATTTGAACATTTACGAAGTAGTTTTGGTGTCTTCGTAACATGTTACGAAGCTGTCAGACGCGGTTGACACGTATTACGAATACCCGTCACGACCACTACCGGTTGACCTGACCTGACCTGACCCGACCTGGTCTAAATGCTTAAAGACATCATCTCTGATCAATACTAACACGATATTCGTGATCAGCACCCCGGAAAACCCCATAGCAGCCACGCTTTACGACTTTCTAACAGGTCCCGATTTTCCCGATTTTCGGGTCATTGACCTGACCTGGAAGGTCATCCGATGACCTAGGACCTTAACATTGGATATCATCGGCTTCCTCTCGTGACGGGCAACACACTCGTTTTTACCGCGAAGCTCTAGCTCGATCAGGGGCCAAACGCGAGGGGGGGGGGGTCGTACCAACCAACCCCCCTTGTGCCGTCGAAGGACGCAAAATGGCCTGTGCCGGCGAAGGTTGAGACTTAAGATTGGTATTTGGTATGAATATTGAATATTCTTGCAATTTGAGATAGCTGCATCATTCATGGTCAGTAAGAGGAATGAACTTGATCCACAACAGCCGTGAAATTCAAATTGAGTTGAGTTGATGCCCGACACTCCAAACGCCCTTTGCAAGTAGCGGGCCATGGTCTACAGTCGGCCCTCCCAAGGTCAGCCACCTGACCTGAAGCATGCCCAACACGGAGCCTTGATATGACCTTGGTGGTAGGTAGTACTGACCTTGAAGGCGACCCAGTCGGGGTCGGTCAGCTCAAAGCCGACGGCCAGCTGAGCCAAAGCGATCACCAGCAGCACCTTCATGATTCCGGGTCTCTGCGGGGCATCGCCAAAGTTGAGCATTTACGCATAAACACAGAAGGGGAGCGAAACAGCACTATGTAATATAGATACAGGCCCCTTATTTGTGCGTAGCACAGGATGATATGACTACAGTCTGACATTTTCGGATATACATGCATGTTACAGCTGATACGATACACAGCCGAAGAAATTGTCACGCTCGCACCAATTACTGACTGCAGGTTAACGAAAAATGTATTGAGAAGCTGGTCAACAATGTACGCACAAAAGCCATATGCTGAAAATAGCAAATGCGAGGAAATGCTCAATCAAATCAATTCTGGTCTCACGTATTATACAAGAATTACGCGGAAAAAGGCATAAAATCCGTACCACAGTACGGATTTGTAACACGGTACGGATTTCAAGACCACCTTCTTAGACTGCAGTGTACAGTTCGACTTCGCCACTGCACGGTCCGACTATATCCTACCCTGAGAAGAACTGGCAGAAGCGATATTCACTGGCTGTGGCCCACATATATACCGCGACTCTGTCTCAGATATCATGGGCGACACATGGGTAGGTGAATATTGTTCCCACCGTCACGAGCGCACCGAATGTAGGAGCGTACCGCTTTGGGGGGGGGGGGGGACTGATAGCACGTCCGGTGTACGTGGGAACTGGGTGCGGTGTGCTGCCGCCTGTCCTTGCAGCGCGGGCAGCGTGACGCAGCAGCCACAGACACCTGGAATATTCCGAGGGACTGGTTAGGTAAATACCTGGAATAATCCACAGGACTGTTGAGTGTTTATTGCTGCTGACAACGTGTAACAGACACAGGGAGTGGTAGGTGACGAAGTTCTCCGCGCTGAGCCAGCGCAACTGGCACAGAAAATCGGAAACATGATCGTACCTTTTTCGGCCGAAAATGGCTTTAGCTGCGTATTTAAATGTTAAAGACATCACAGATGATGTCTTCATGTATTTAGGCCAGGTCGGGTCAGGTCAGGTCAGGTCAACCAGTAAGGGTACCTATTCGTAGTAGGTGGCAACCGCCTCTGACAGCTTCGTAACATGTTACGAAGGCACCAAAACTACTTCGTAAATGTTCATATGGTTGCTAAATTCGAATTCAGCTCCAAAAACTGGCCTAGAAACATATAAAACTCGAAAAAGTGAACCGAGGTCATCAAAGGTCAATGACCTGACCTGACCTTCAGGTGACCTTGACACCCACCCTAATGCATGGGGGCACATCATATCACATGTTTGAACGCTTGAAACCACGAAAAGACTGCAAACGCGCGGCTAATGCGAGCCGACATACGCCGAATCGCGATTCCAGCCAAACATGGTCTCGAAAAGTAGGTCACAGGTCAAAGGTCATTTGGGTCAGGGTCATGAAATTTTCAGGGTAGGTGTGAAATTGATGAACGCGAGGGTACTGGAAGTTTCGTCGCGATCAGCCGCTTTTTACGCGAGTTATTCGTGAAAAACCATGGAGGGGCCGTTTGACCCCCCCCCCCTATACGGGCGAGGGTTAAGTAGGTCAGAGGTCAGATCAAGGTCAGGTCAAGGGTACAAAATGCAAGTTTCTACAGTATCGGCCTTGCACCGTACCTAGTTGCCGAAGAATGGACTGAGACTGATTGCCCAAAACGTGTTCTTAGACTACCAAGACAGACAATATTCGTTGCATACAATGTCATTCAAAGGTCAAGGTCAAGGTCAGGTCAGGTCAGGTCAGGTCACCAAAAATAGAATATAGAAAAGGGCATGTGCGACACATGTTTTATGGGTCATTTTACTCATAGAATTCAATAGGCACACTCACTAAGTGATATGGACCACCTCTGGATGAATATCAGGTCGAGGTCAGGTCAAGGTCAGGTCAAGTGAGGTCAAATTTTGAAGTTGGTTGTTAAGGCCTAAAAAGGTGTCTACCTGATGCAGTTTTTCACGGCGAATCGAATGGTCCCAGCTAACAGGAAACGTTACTACAACGTTGTCACAACGTCGTGTTTCGGTAAGTTGCGAAATTACGTTTTAATTACGTTGTAGCAACGTTCTGAACGTTGTGAAGCCATAATTTGGTCCGAAAGTCGTGGTAAAACGTCGTGACAACGTTTTATTGGTACGTTGCAGCAACCGCGCACTTGCAGCATTATATTTTGATAATGCATGGTGACATATATGGCCATATAATGCATTTCCTTTGACTTTCAATGCGCATATTCAGTTTTCATCGTTAAATTTGACATATTTTAACACTTGGACTGTTCACGTTGTCAGCTGGTGGTCGCCAACACGTTGTTAAAAAGGTTTTTCACAACCTTGACATTATAGGTACTGAATAATTAGCGGTGTTTTTACAAGTAAATTCTGATACCTTTCTCTCCCTATCTCTCTCTAATATATATATATAGAAGCTTTTTCTCTTATATATATATATATATATATATATATATATATATATATATATATATATATATATATATATATATATATATATATATATATATATATATATATATATATATATATATATATATATATATATATATATATATATATATATATATATATATATATATATATATATATATATATATATATATATATATATACCTAACATGTGTAAATTGCAAAGCGTCATTGGCATGTTTTGCAACATCACAGGCGGAGCTAGAGGCTTGCAACTATCCCTATGTAAACGCGGCTGTTATCCGCGGCTGCCAGCAAGCCACGCGGGCCGCCACTCAGGCGAACGGTGGCTCGCGCCCTGACCTCGCCTGAGGGGCCGTGACGTCAGTGTCACCGGCCGGCGTTCAGAGGCCAGTTTTACCAACAGAAAAATAGCAGCCCGGCGCAATTTTTCTGTAAAAAACCAGCCGACGAGTTTCACCAACCAGGCGAAAAAATATCCGCCGGCGTGAAAAAATATCAGCCAGAAAAATAGCCAATGAGTTTCACCAACGACAAATGCGGCATTAATGGAGTGTTATTTTGCGCCATTATTTGTAGAAAAACAGCCCAAAAAATAGACGGGGGACCCCGTCTATTTTTTTGATGTCGTGTTGGAATAATTGGCCTCATTTGTTACTAATTATCGTGATTTGCGCTTCCCAGTTGATATAATAATTTAGTATCATTCATGGCCAATTTGTAAAGCATCTGGGCTTCAAGATTAGAAGAGGAATACTGATGATATTGCGTAAAGAAAGAGCCTTTGTCACCAGTCCTGACTAAAAGGAACCAACAAGACTGGTGTTTGGTGTTGTGGTGTTAGTTTTTTCGTTTATATTATCTTTTTGCTACAAGCACCCAACAGCAAGATGATAGCACATTATTAACTAGTGGTCAGCTTACAAGTTCATTGCTCGTGCGAGTCGCACGGAAGTGGAAAATAATGATGGAAGATCATTTTCGAAAATTGAAGGTGCTTGAACAAATGCTGGAAGGAGAGGCAGAGAGGGTAGGCTCATTGGACTCAAGATTTTAAATAAATATGTCACTGTTTTCACATATTCAGCTACATTTGACAATGCAAGGCGCCAACTACTGATACCACTACTACTTTTGGGTGGAACTTACTTGAGCTGTGCGGAATAGGGAAGGTGCAATTGACATGGCTAAGACCAAAATGGCAAGATTTTCAAGATGAATGACAGTAAATTAAAAAAAAATGAATAGCATGAAAGAAATGTATAAAGGCTTGTTTTTGAAGCCAAACATGCAAAGTTTGCATGGTTGCGAACCCGAACAAACTTGCTGTCATAAGATTGTGCCACTGAGCTCAGCAAGTCATGCTGCCAATATTGAAGGAAAAGAAAATAATGTAATGTTGTAAAATGTAAATGAATCCATAACTGTTGTGTGTGCACTGTGCTGATATTGAATGCATGTGTATCTTGCATGCATGAGTCATGCAGGGATCATGTTAAAACTGGCTGTAAGTATTGTGAGTAGTTTTGCAAAATTGTGGAGGCACCAGGCAAATTGTGGCCGAAATGTTACTTGTTCACCTCAGCGCTGAAATTTCTGCTCACAGAGTTTTCAGATCATGCGCCGAAATGTTCATGCAGCCCATCCGTTACACTGGTCATGTTGACAGTGACAAGGATTTTTTCCCAGTCTCATGCTGAAATACAATAATAATTCACTTAGCTTGATTTTAGCTTATGTTTTTCATGCCAGTTCCTAGAATAAAGCAGCCAATATTTTCTGTCATGTGAGAAATATAATAACAATATGCACAATTGCAGTCTGTGGCATGTTGTGAGGTTTTCCCTTGTTTATTGCTGAGGTTTTTCCAGTCTCTGCTGCAAAAACGGTGATGAATCCACCATCGTCCGACGGTTTCGATGACGCCAATCATCGGCGAGTGTTGCTGTGATGGCCGACCTGACTGAGCGCACAGCGGCAGCCGCCGTCGCCAATAACGACAGTGAGGACACCTCCGAGTCGGACGGAGACGCCGCCGCTGACGACTTCACCGTGCTGGACGAGGTGGAGCGCTCGAGCCGACAGACCGTGCACCGCGTGCGCTGCCCGACTGGCTGGCGCACCTGCAGCCGATTGGCGACCGGCGGCCGGCGCCGGCCAATCTGCCGGCGCTCTGCCCCGAGCTGCGCGCCCGGCTGGCCGCCGAGGGCATCGAACAGGTGTTCCTGGTGCAGGTGACCGTGCTGCCCGAGCTGCTGGCGGCCGCAGAGTCGCCACTGCCACCGGCCGACCTCTGAGTCGGCGCCGGCCGGCCGCTCGGTGCCCGCCGTGTTCCGCCAGTACGACGCCGACACGCCGCTCTGCGTCCAGCTGCTGGGTGGAGACACAGTGGCACGAGGGGGCGCCAACTGGTGGCGGTGGGGCCGCGCGGCCCGGCCTCCCTGGCTGATCGTGGTGAGCACTCCCGGCTGGCTGATGGATCACATAACCAGCGCCGAGGGCTTCTCGCTACCGCACCTGCGCTACCTGGTGATCGACGAAGCCGACCGGGTGATCGAGATGGCCGAGACGGGCTGGCTGAAAGCGGTGGAGCGGGTGGCGGCGGCCACGGCCCGCCGCCCTGCATCGCCGGCCGGCTGACGGCCGCCGCCGTCTGCGCGCCTCACCGCCGCCGTCGCACTGCCCGGTCAGTTCGTCGGCAGGTTCACCACGCCGGCCGAGCTGAGCGAGTCGTTCAACGTGGTGGCGCCGCAGCCGCTGAAGCCGCTGCTGATGCACCATTTGCTCCGACAGCCCGACTGGCGACGCTCGCTCGTGTTGGTCAACTGGAACGAGGTGGCGCACCAGCTGGAGCTACCGCTGTCTGTGCTGGGCGCGCGCGTGACTGAGTTCTGTGGGGTAGTGCCGGCGTGCCGGCGGCGGCGCGCGCTAGCTGAGATGGCCGCGCTGGTGTGCTCGAGGCTATAGCGCGCGGTATTGACGTGGACGCCGTGGACGCGGTCGTGTCGTACGACATCCCGGCGCTGTTGAAGACGTACACTGCGTGCGTCGGACGGCGCGCATCCGCCGGGCCGGCCAGGCGGTCAAGCTAATGTTGGAGCGGCAGCGCAGCAATTTCCAGCGGCTGATGGTGCAGGCGGGCGGCCGCGTGCGGGAGACGCTGGCGCTGCTGGACGAGCTACGAGCTGCGCCAGTACGAGGCGACCTACGTCAGTGCATTTCCACACTAGCTTCTAGTGGATCGCTGTTGTTTTTTATGCTCATTGCTCATGATTTATTTACATTTTAGAAATATTGCAATGAAATAGATGTATGCCTTGTCATCAGCCTGGAAAACTTAAAGTAAGTAAAGCGTTTTAGTTGCATAATGTATGTTTGTTCATGAACATGGATTTAACATGTCCTAACTCCCAAACATTTCGATATTAGACCCGAGTTACAAACCAATCGAAAGGCTTAGACGATCATTTGGGGCGTAGCCAGACGGCTCGGCTGGGTGTGAAAGCCGGCGACCAAGGTGGTGACCACCCGATCATAATGCACAGCGGTCTCCGTCGGACGATTGTGTCCGCGCGCAACGAATGATCTGGGCACACGCAGAGGAGTTCGGCAGGACTCTCCACTGAGCGGTACTGGGCGCAGTCGAACGACGGTCGACGACGCTAGCGCAGGTATTGTTAATTTGTTACGAGTTACGAGCCGGACCAGTGTAGCGGGCCCGGAGCAAATATTCTTTGCTGTGTGGCGTTCCTTCTTCTCGACCGGGCCCGGCAAACGGGGCCTGCATATCGGCTAAAACCACCTAGCCGGGCAGTCTGACCTCCACCTCGCCGAAGCGGAGCGAACGACGTACCCTCAGCCCTGCAACGACCGCGGTGCAGCAGTTAATCTGGGTAGGTATTTTCTAAGGTAAGACAGTCGCCTTTGCACAATGCTTTACATATATAGGCCTTGGCGAGTTCGTTAGCCCTCTTACTCCCGCTAGAAGGTGCTAATGCAGTGCACGCGAATCCGCCTCGTAGCACCGCACTTCAACTTCAATCGCTCGGCAGCGGAACTGTCCGTCGTCCGTCCAGCTTCAGGTGGCGTCTCTGGGAGCAATGCTGACCGCTTATTTGCCGCTCTTTTGAAAGCTAGGAAAGAGGTGCGGCTCCCGGATCTGTCGGGAGCGGGACTCATAGGCGGCGGAACGGGTAGGGCACCGGGGCACCGTGCCCCCTTTGATTTTTACATTTTAATATTAGCCCTATGGGCGTTGCATGGAAAGAATGGGACCAAAAGTCGGTAGTGCCCCCTTAATTGAAGGTGTTCCGCTGCCACTGGAGTGGGTCTCATCTAGTCCCCACCTCATAGCTGGAGGTCCACACATTGCGTTCTCGGTCTACACGATGATTTTCTACAAGGTGCGACTAAAAACAGACAAAAAGGTACATAACAAGTTGAAGGTATTGTAAAAATTAATATAATAGGCTGACAGGAAAAAAGATCCATCTTAAATTTGCCTTAAATGCAAGCTTCCTTACGTCACCTTTATGAATGACGTGCCTACGTTTACAATTTGGTAGTTTTGTGTTGTATTGGCTTTTCCTGGGCACCAGAATGTTAATATAGATATGAAAGTTTATAATGCTCTACTTTGCTGTTATTACTCTTGAAAATAATGTAATAATTTACGATTATAATATTTCTAAATGTATATAGCATTTGCATTAGAAATCACGCTTCAATTTGATTGAAAACATGCTTTAAATGATTTATTAATCTCCTTGACATATCGTAATTTGATATCGTAACAGAATATCAGCTGACTACCGGCGACAAATAATTTCCGTCCGAAGTTGGCTGGAATTTTTTGTTGGTGAAACTCGTGGCTGTGTGGCGTCTATTTTTTCGGCTGGATATTTTATTTCGGCGGCCGGCTGGTATTTTTTGGTAAAACTGGCCTCAGAGCCAGCCGGCCGAGCCGCAGTCTACGCGGCGCGAGCGAGCAGTGAGGGCCGGCGGCGGGCGCGGCTGAGATAGCTGGAAGATGAAAGATAGCGCCAGTTGTCTGCGTTTGATGCGATTGTTGTTTTGACTGGTAAGTCAAAGTACCATTTACGAGTAGCATTTGCAAGATTGTGCCTTGTAATATCGTGCGGTCTAGGCTATAGTTCATTGTAGCTCTAGCCTCTAAGGTGTTGACATGTTTCATTTTGATCTAGCCGGTCGCACTGTTACGGGAAAGTGGTGCAGGTATTTTTGTGATTTTTTCATGAATTGAATGTCTGATTTTCCCTCATGTCTTCCCGCAGACGTCCTGCAACTCGTCAGCGCGCCTTGCGGCAGGCCTACTGTCGGCAATGCGGTAGCGAAGTGGCTGTCCGGAAGCTGCGACCGGAACGGGGGTGCGCAGACCGTCTAGTCAGGCACTGCCAGCTGCCTAGGGACATCGAGGCCGCAAATGAGCCGGTGCCTAACGGTCCGCCGAGTGATCCTCCCAGCGAGGGTTAGTAAAGAAGTGAACTTCCACCAGTTCTGGCGTGCTAGCGGCTAGCGTCAGAGCCGGTAGAACCCAATTCCGTCCCACGCTCCCATGGGGGCGCCCCTGGGCCCCATGCCCCATCACCGATGCCGCCGCCGTCGTTTTGTTTGTTTGTTGTAAATTGACCTGTATGATGTATTGAAATATACACTTCTTACATGCCTTTTTTACAAGTCTAGAGAACGGGAAGAGAGCGTCGGAAACACATTCTGAGTATGTTGCGAACACGTTGAGAGGGCGTTGCGAAAATGTTTAGGACGTTTACTCAGGGTCGCAGGGACGGCAATGCGAAGTAGCGACAACGTGGTGCCCACGTGATAAAAACGTCGCAGAGACGTTGCCAAAGCGTTCTATACTCCTTGTAGTCACGTTGCGGAAACGTGGTGACAACGTTCCAGAAACACTGTTGGTACGTTACAGAAAACATTTCATAACGTTGGCGGGACGTTGTAAGAACAGTTTTGGGACGTCACGGCCACGTTACAGAAACGTTGTGATGACATTCAAATGCATGGTCGGATGACGTTGTCACGCCGTTGTCTGGAGTCTACAAAATTACGTTGTCACAACGATAAATCGGGACGTTGTGGTAACCATTTGACAACGTTTAAACGACGTTGTAACAACGGCAAATTGTTAGCTGGGGTGCTATGTTTGTTTCCGTATAAGGTCTAGAACTCCCCAAAAAAATCATTTTTCAAAATTTTTGTGTGTCGTGACGTAATAAAATTTTGAATAACTCCCACATTTTTGAACCGATTCTTCTAGAAATTGGTATGTAAGTGCACATAGACCACTTCTCTGACATATATTCTGTTTTTTTCGATACACTCAAAATTTTGGATTTTATAATTATTTTCCCTTTTTTTAGAAAAAAATTGGGCCAAAATCCAAAATTTTCAAAAAAAAAACCGAGATAGCCATTTGATAGAGAAAGTAGAATCAAGTATAACCTTTTTGTTACGTCTTGATTCCTTTAAAAATGAAGATATTAGCGACGTTTGAAATTTTGCCGTTTTTGAGGCGAAAATGGCGAACATGACGTCACTAAAACGTCAATTTCTCAAAAAAATTACGACGGATTTCGCTCAACTTTTCAGGGAACGTGTCAAATTAATGTATGATAAGGTACTGAAAGTTTGACGTTGCTGGCGTAACGCGTTTACAAGTTATTGGCGAAAAACGGGAGGGGGGAGGGCAGATTCTGCCCCCCCAGCGGGGCGCGGGTTAAACGTTACGATCCTTTCATAACATTCGTATAAATGTTAGGGTTGTATGTTATAACATTAACAGTGCAACATATCTCAGTTTTTAGCTAAAAACCCCTAAAATATCATTTTTGCTCTATAACTTGAACAATAATTTTTTTGTTAGCTTTAACTTTTACGCTGGCGTTACCTCAGCTGCCACGCTGAAAAGTGAAAGGACAAACAAACACTCTAAAATTTTATTATGAATAATTTAGCCGGAAACGGGGCGGCCGGGCTTCCCCCGCGCCCGGGGTCCCCCCGGCTTCCCCTACCCTGACCTGACGCTGCCGGCCATGGTATATTAAAAAGGTGCATACGGCAAATCGTTTGGTGGCTTTATCGTCTCGATCGGCCTGGTAGTTCCTGAGTTCCTGATTCGAGAAGACAGCAATAGAATGGCTGCAGCCTGCAATAGGCAAAATCATCAAGTTGACCTTTTGAGAACACCGAGGTCAACTGAGGTCATGATACTCAGAACGCCTGGTAAAGTTGCTTATTGTAAAGGAAATGAGGCTATTTTCATCTACATTAATTCAGGGGTTCTTCTTCAGTTTATTGAATAGCTGCAAAGGCTGCGGCCTAGTAGCGTTGTTCCTTACAAATAGCGAACCTTGCTCAAGAATTCACCTGTGAATCTGACGCTCTGAGACGTTTGTCACGCGACGCGGTTTGCGTTCCTTTTCTTTCTCTCATCTTGCTATAGGTAATTTTATTCATTTTCATCGGTTTGATGCAGGCTTTGTATCCTCAATATTTTGACAATTGCCTAATGTTAAAGAAAACATCATAATTTGAACTTGTCAATGTTATTTATGACTGAAACTGACCCTGCTGGTAGAGGGGTTAACTCACGAGTTAACTTTGACTTCAGCCTTATGACTTGGACTAGAAGTCTTAAAATATTTAGTTGTTATTTTTGTTTCTGATGGTGTGTTACTGAGTTTCATTTAGTTCAGATTTATTAAGTAAATCAGTAATTCAGGCAGTTAAAGTTGTTGCTTGTATGGTTTTGCAGCTTGTATGACATTGCTGAACTCGTTATTTATCTACAACTATCAGTACCTACCAGTTTGCCATTTGGGTGTGGCTGAATTTATCCTTCGGTTTTCGGTTTTACATGATTTATTATGTTATTATTCCATTCCAATATGTTATTATCCAAAAGGCTCATCAAATCAAGATATATTTCATAAAAAAGTGTACAACTGTTTCACTGTGCACTCAACATTTGTCATGAGGTATAATTGGAATTATGGCACCATTTAGGGTCAAAAATAGCGCAAGTCAAAAGTATGTCAAATGTGACTAAATTGAAATAACAGCATAAACATTGCATGCTGATTGTGGGATCTCAAGCACTAGAATAAGAAGCAAATCATGCATAAAATATTGGCAAACATGGACCTGTTCCTGTGAAATAATCTCATCAAGTAACTGAGTTACAATACTAAGTAATTTTATTGGCATGCTGCAGTTTCTCAGGTTTTCTTTGGTGGAATTTGGGTGGTCTCTGGTAATACTAATGAGGTTCTGTGATATGCTGGCAGCTATAGTTTGTTTTTATTCCAAAGGGATTTGGCTCTAAGTTAATTATTGAGGTCTGGTGAGTTTTGCAAATTCAGCATCTGGCCAAATTTTTTTATCTCTCAAAACAGTAGGCGGAACTATGGTCATGAGTACCCAAATATAGGAACGTTCCCATTTTTGGGAACGGAGTTCCCAAATATGGGAACGGGCGTTCCCATTAATGGGAACGGAAGGTAATTTTTCGGTCGTTCACCCACTAAAACTCATAAGTGCATCACGTCTCAAAAAAGTGCACGCTAATTTAAGTATCTACTAAGTCTCTATAAAATTATCTTTAATCTGACCGTTGCACAAGGAAATTGACCGTCGAATGATATTTTTAATGATTTTTTGAAATGACGGATTGGTGAAAACATGGGTTATACTACATTTAACTTGCAATTTTAAGGAAAATGAAGCGTTTTTTACATTTTGAGGTCAAGTATAATAATTTTCGCCTGGTTATGAAGTTTCATACTAGCGACACCAGATGCTGACATATGCAAGCGAACACGCGGACAGTCCGGGGGTAATATTGGTGACATTTGGTGTCGGGGCGCACGACCGCATGGAACGTCAGTGATTTTACCGAACTACTGTTGTAAACTCAGTTTCAGTGGTTTTAAATTATTCAGCTGTATTATATCATCCCAGATAGACATATTTTATTTGGATGCTAGCTGTTTCGAGTTTTTTATGAGGAGCGTCATGAGCGTGGTTTTTGTCTTCTGTGTTTCTAAGCGTGATCGTTTTGGGGGAATTTCTCTTATATAGGTCGCTCTGTGTGGCTTATTTATAATTTTTATGCTGATTTCGATCATTCCTCGTGCCCATCCTACCAGGCCTTTTGCCACTTACACTCATCAAGAAAGGAAAAAACTAGATTTTCATTGGGACTAGGTGTTTTGAGGGTGTAACATATTCAGCGTTCCCATTTTTGGATACTTCCTTGTGCTCGTCAACTATCGGTGATAAACAGACAGGTGCTTGACATGTCTCCACCCTCGGCGCGGACGGTGGATATAGGTATGGAAGACCTTGTTGAACATCGCTGAGCGTTGTGAATTACGTAATCCTGCAGAGGGGGGCGTGCCCGCTGCGAGATCGACGGGAATAAAAGCGCAGAAGACCGGGCGAAACATGCGACGGTCTTGCCGGAAAGGTCATCTGATGATTGTTGCGTTAACAATAATTTGCGGCGTTGGACGTGATGCTTGTTAATGAAAAGAGCCCCTGAAAGGCGTCGGTGAAATCGTTCCCAATTTTGGGTACGCCGTTCCCATAATAAGGAACGCTTGCAGCGCTAGTGTATGAGAGCGTTCCCAAATTTGGGCTCGCGGCCCGGATGATGGACTGCTTTAGAAATAGGGGAACGATTTGAAACTACGATGGGCCTTACAATATCAAACTCGTTCCCAACAATATTGAGACAAATATCAGGTGGTTCACGATCGTTTTATATTTTTTGGACGTCATTTAACGGTTCTTTTTCTTGTTTTAAATAATGCCTACATGGCGTTCCCATATTTGGGTTTATCGTTCCCAAACATGGGAACGAAAATGCGTTCCCGAAAATGGGTACGCTTGACCATAGTTCCGCCTACTGAAAAATTCAATTTCAAAATGTGCTAGGAAATTTCATAGAAATGGACATTGGACAATGGTTGCTTTAGAAATGAGCATACTATGATGATGTCAGTTGTGGCAGCTGGCACAAAATATCTGTATGATGGCATGAATTGCCAACAAATTCTAGGAAAACTTCATTTTTCTTTGTTACCTTGGTTAGAATCGAGTAAGCAGTTCTGTCCGTGGTAGTTACATTACAATGCTGTGCAAGTTTTACAGCATTACATCACTAGTATCTAATTCCAAAAGGCTTATATGGAATTTATCGGGAATCAGCAGACTGCTTATTAAATAAACAGTGAATGAATATCACACTCAGTACAACAAAGTGAACAATCTTTTTAAAATGTGCTCTTAAAATCGCATCACTAGTTAAAGGAAATATACCACTTTCATCTAAGTATTTCTTTCTACAGTTTTATGATTATGCTTTAGGTGAAAAAATAAAATGTACAAAAAATGTTGAAATATTTTCATATAAGAAGAACTATATTATACCTTTGGTAGAAGCTTAATTCCCACTCCCTTGTTTAAAAAAAAAAAAACATTTATTGTTTAATCTTTGCCCAAATGCTTAACATTGACATCTGGATCCCTGAATGTGCAATTTGGAGTACCTAGCTGCTGTTTGCACCATTTTTCCTAAACATTTTCTACCATTTAAAATGGAATTTTGAAGACCTCTGTCATCTGTGTACCTGACCAATGTTGAAATGATGTATGATGGCCTTTCGTGCATCGCTATGAACTATGAAGTATGAAGTCACTTCACACGTCACTTTTATCTCTTTGCCAAGGTGAAAACGCCCGCTTGCGAGTAAGGATCGGACAACGACCCGGGCGCCGGTTGACGGCCATGTATTGAGCTTATAGTCTTGGAGCCTTGGAGGTTACTTGTACTGTCAGCAACTCAATGTGATGTAAATTTCCCTACGCCTCCTGCACGGTTGTTTACAGATAGGACGGAACAATGAGCAGCTCCGAGGAGGTATCGTGGATCTCGTGGTTCTGCGGCCTGCGCGGCAATGAGTTCTTCTGCGAGGTGGACGAAGACTACATCCAGGACAAGTTCAACCTGACGGGCCTCAACGAGCAGGTGCCGCACTACCGGCAGGCGCTCGACATGATCCTCGACCTGGAGCCCGGTGAGTGGGCCGCCGCCGGTGGTAGTACGACCGAGACCGCCGCCGCCGCGGGTGCTGTGTAGATGGTGGCAGGGTGACTGTCGTAGCTCCAGGCACTAGTGATAAACTCTGCCGGTTTATTTCATGTAGTGACCAACAGTCCTATAACGTAAAGTTGACATCAATATTTTTTTATTCACTAATGGCATGAAATGACCCCCTTTCATCCGTTAGAAATATTTGTGACAACAATGATTCATTACCCAAGTTGTACAAACGCATTTGAGCCCTGACGCTGCGGCCCCTGACGCTTCGGCCTGTGACGCCTTTACCCGGACGCTGAGTCCATCATGCTCCGGCCCCTGACACTCTGATCCTGCCGCTCCGACCCCTGGCGCCTTTACCCTGACGCTGCGGCCCCTGACGCCGACAGACGATGAGCTGGAGGAGAACCCGAACCAGTCGGACCTCATTGAGCAGGCCGCAGAGATGCTCTACGGCCTGATCCACGCGCGCTACATCCTCACCAACCGCGGCATCGCCCAGATGATTGAGAAGTACCAGTCGGGAGAGTTTGGCTACTGCCCGCGCGTCTACTGCGAGAATCACCCCATGCTGCCCATTGGTGAGTCGGTTACCGGTCAGAGAACCACCCCATGCTGCTCATTGGTGAGTATTATTGCCCAAGGAACTGTTAGTGAGTAGATTACTACTCAAAGAAGCACCCCATGTTGTCAGTTGTCCATTGTTCAGTGCGGGCCAGGAACGAAGCTGACCGTGGAGAGCACTGTTTTCAAGTACGGCTGAACGCCTGTGTGATCTAGTGCCGTTGCTGCTCGCACCGATGCTGCTGGTGCCGCCGCCAACTGACTATTAGCTCCTGCTATGTGTTTTAAGAATGCAGACTTTCGTCTGCCTCACACCTTGATTGGATGGGCGCAAAATGACCTCGCAGTCGGCGCGCCCCTAATCCCCAACAAACAAAACACCTTGATTGGCCGGTTGTTTTCTGCTTTGACGCGTCGCAGCGTGTTTTCTTATTTGACGCCGCTGCACTGGGTGTTTCCTTGTGGTCTGACGCTGCACTGCAGCTGCGTGTTTTCTGCTCTGACGCCTTTACTCGTTCGTCAGGTCTGTCTGACGTGCCCGGCGAGGCGATGGTGAAGCTCTACTGCCCCAAGTGCATGGACGTCTACACGCCCAAGTCGTCGCGGCACCACCATATCGACGGTGCCTACTTCGGCACCGGTTTCCCTCACATGCTGTTCATGGTGCACCCGGAGTACCGGCCCAAGAAGCCCACCAACCAGTTTGTGCCCAGGTGAGTCGGCCGTCAGGCCTCAGTCGGGTCGCCGGTGATAGGTTTCAGGTCGCCGGCGCCAGGTCTCGGGTCGCTGGTGGGGTTGCAGGTCGCCGGTGATAGGTCTCGGGTCGCTGGTGGCGTTGCAGGTCGCCGGTGAGGTCGCGGGTCGCTGGCGCCGGGCCTCAGGTTGCTGGCGATTTGTCAGTCGGATCGCCGGCGCCAGGCCTCAGTGGCTCAGTTAGGTCGCCGACGCTAGGTCTCAACTCTGGCGCCAGGCGCAATCGTTTGTTGGAAGCGGATAACTATTGCCTGCTGCTGAGTGGAATTACAAAGACGGGATTATAAAGACACACGAAAATACCAGTAAAACGCCTTTTGGGCGAAGAACGAGCGAGCGAGATAGTGAGCCCTGCACGTGCGGAAGGGCGAGAGGGTGCTTCCAACGGGCTTGCGCAAAGCACCCTTCTAAGTTCTAACCGGTCGCTAGCGGTGTGCCAAATTTGAACGCAATCGGCCCAGCCGTTCCTGAGATCTGGAAGTGGCATTCTGCACGTGCGCACGTGCAAACGGGGTCCAAAATGACTTTTGCACGGCACCCTACTAACTGGTCCCCAACCGTGTACCAAATTTGAGCGCAATCGGCCCAGCCGTTCTCGAGATCTGGAAACGCCCCCTGCACGTGCGCACGTGCAGTAGCACCCTAACCGCAACACATGGAATGCATTGCCTGGTGGGTGCCTACCTGTATGCCAAGTTTCAGCGAAATCGCCCCAGTAATTACCGAGTTACTGAGATGGGAGCAAATTTGGCACCTCTTATTGTTGTATTTTGCACGTGCACTGGGGGTGACCCACATGCTTCGAGAGTATCCTATTTTGGGTAGGAGGGATGCTGCTACCCTACAAAAAATTACCGGAAGTCAATCGCCAAAACGGCTGCTGAGATATGAGCCTATCAAAATCACTACTTTTGCAAAACAGCTTGAACACCCTTGACTTTTCACGTGGCACGTGCCACGACGGTCACTGAGATGTATCAAAAGTAGTCAATTACGGGGTAGAAGGGATTGGGCTACCCAACAAAAAAGACCGCAGGCCAATCGGTCCAGCGGTTGCTGAGATATAAGCCTCTCAAAAGCGTTACAGGCCGGGCCGGGCCGGGCCGGGCCGCTCATACTGAGATTTTTCCGTTATATTGAATAGACTCACTTCGTTCGCTGCGCTCGCTCGCTCGTAACAAGAGCCATGAATGACAGTATTGATTGACATTGTGGCTGCTATCTAATGGCTGAAACAGACTCTTCCCGCGTTCAGGAAATCGCATGCGAGAGCCTATTCAAATACATTATAATTCTTCCCGCATCAATCGCATCCGGGAGGTATTGTATTGTATTACACATCATGAAGCACTTCCACACAGTTATGTGGCTATTCCGTGCCCCGTTGTCAATATGATTAAACGAATGATCATTGTGGTCATCACAAGCACGCACACGAGCACACACAATCACACACACGCATACATGCACGCTTTGCAGTCATACACAGGTAAGATATGCAAGCTCAAATGACCAGCCAGATTCTCTACATTTCTAGCCTATTCCACTCCGTTGCCTCCCTAGCAGATGTAGCCGCAGCTCCTTTTTAAACTGGGCTCCTGTTCGACATCGTATCGCGGCTGGCAAATCGTTGTATGCGACTACAATATGGTACAGGAAGCGGCGCCTGCCCGACTCGGACCGAATCGCCGGCGTGATAAGGTGGTCGGCGTTACGGGTGATACGCTGGTGGACGTCCCTGCGTGTGACCAGGCCACCAGCAATACATTCGGGTTGCGATGACAGCAGCATCCGTTTCAGCAGGGCGAGGCCGTGATAGAGGTACATGTTCTCGGCAGTAAGCCAGTCCAGTTGATAAAGTACATCGCTAATGTGCGCAGATTTCCTCCGTCCCGATAAAACGCGTGCGGCAAAGTTTAACACTTTTTGAATACGCTTCATCTGACTGCTGCCGCACACACCATAAACCACCAGACAGTATAAAAGGCGTGAGATGACGAGGCCCTGAATGAGTGTCAGCAGGGTGGACTGAGGCAGACTGTGCCTGCTGTGGCTCAGTCCGCACAACATTCCGGTACATCGCTGCACTACATTGTCCACATGAGGGGTAAAAGTCATGTGCTGGTCAAATGTGACACCCAGGTTGAGGACAGTGGCGGAAGCGGCGACATCGGCATCCATGAATTTAATGTTGACTGGTCCGAGACGTTGAATATTTTGACGCGAGCCAAGAATGATAAACTGTGTTTTCTGTGCATTGATTTTGATGCCATTTTTGCTGAACCACCGAGAGAGCAAAGCCAGGTTGTGTTCCATTTGCTGCACCAGGGAGCCGATGTCGCCGATCCCACCAGAGACCGCCACCTGAGTGTCGTCCGCATATTGCACCACGTGCGCGCCGTCCGTGTACAGAGGTAAATCGTTCGCGTAAATCGAGAATAGCAGAGGCCCGAGCGCGGAACCCTGATACGTACCACGTGCGATTGATACGTACCAGGTGCGTGCGATTGATGCGAGCGTGCTTCCATGTATTTGAATAGGCTCTCGCATGCGATTTCCTGACTGCGGAAAGAGTCTGTTTCAGGCATAAGCGTTATGTTGAGGCAGTGGTTTACGAAGATAAACGAAGCGTTTCTTGTGTTTCGGCAGCAGACTTGACATGCATCGTTTTTGCCGTGCTATCAGTTTATAGAGTTGAATTCCGTCACCCGGTGGTATCAGGCTCGGTAGGCGCGATAGCGGGACGTTTTAGGTGCCTGGGAGTCAGATATTGCGAGGCAGGTGGTGACGTTTGCTACCTGTCTGGTAAACTAAGCTGGGAAAACTGCAGTTCTGGGATACTTTACCAATGTGGCAGCGGCGTCTACCATTAGTTACATTTCTTACATACTGCTTGGTTAAGCTGCCTTAAGCTGGTATGAAGCTTATAAAACTAAAGATAAGGGAGAAACTAAGGGAGAAGATAAAGGATAAGGATTAAAGGGACCCTCCCACCTTAACATTAGATTTGAGTTGAGATAGCCAAAATGGGGTCCCTGGCTCACAATTACCGGTTTCGGCACTCACAACATCAAGAAATGCCTTAAATCGGAAATATTGAATTTCAAAATTGCAGCATTTTGATTCAGAGGGGCTAATGCATAAGAATACCCCTCTGAATGTGTGACGTCAGCGCAGATATCTAACGATTTTTAAATGTTTGACTAAAACGTTTTGTAGCACGCGGTGGTATATGCTGCTTTGCGCGCAACAAATGCCGCACTTTCAAATAAAGTCGCTGGGAACAGCGGAGATCCCAAAAAGTAAACAAAAGTAAAAGTCTAATATCTTGAAAACCGGTGAATATTTTTCGATGAAATTTGGTAGATATTTGTTTTTGCTCTTTTTGAACCGAGCGACATCACTTTCATGCCAATTCATTAACTTTTTTGAAGGTGGGAGGGTCCCTTTAAAGGGATTAAAGATAAATGATAAGGGAGAAACTAAAGATAAGCGACTATCTTTAGTTTCTACCGACTCTAGTCCTATTCGTTCAGCGTTATTCACTTTGTGTTATCCCCTGTGCGTCAAGCGTCCCTCTATCCATCTCCTGGCGTCTCGCCTCGCTGCGTTTCTACCCGGGATGGCCAGACCCGTGCCGTGTTTCCGGCCGCCGCTGCCGTGAAGACACGGGCTGGCCACGGACCGTTTTTCCTGACGGCTGGCCGCTCACACGATGACCAAATATGGACGTGCACCGGTTTAATAGCGGTGGGTGGCGAAGGCCGGTTTAGCAGCTGTGTTTTCCTCAATGATCGCAGATTTGACACCTAGTTAACTGCTAGGCTATTTGGGCGGATTGTTGAATGGTTGAGTGCACCTACCCGAAACTTTTTTTTTTAGATTATTGACCGTCGAAACATCGTGTTTTATGTGGTAAGTTGTGATTCGTGTGGGTGTCACACTGTAAGACTGACATTGTTATTTGTTTCTTCGACAGGCTCTATGGGTTCAAGATTCATCCCATGGCTTACATTATCCAGCAGCAGGCGGCCTGTAACTACAAGGCCCCGCTACGCGCCATCAACTACAACGGCAAACGGCCATAGAGCGGCGTGTCCTGCCTCTTTCCGCGGCCGGCGAACGGTTCGCCGCCGCTTCCGCTCCACCCGGTGAGTCGCCCGCCGCCCGCCACCGACTCAGAACCGGCTAGAAAGACTGGGAACACAGCTGTATCACGGGGCAATCAGCGTGCCACGCGGCAACCGCGTCAGTGGCGCCAACTGACGGCATTTTCTGTAAGTAGCAGTGCGCGCGCCGTCCGCCGCGTGGCGCTGCTGGTCGGGAGGTGCGGCTGGGTGGGCGGATGGTGGGGTTTCTAGGCTGGTGAGCTGGTGGTGGATGTTTGAGTGTGTGTCGGGGGCGTGCAGCCCTGTTAGGAGGTGGATGAGATGAACCTTCGCTCGGGACGGGCACTGTAGGACGTCAGGTTCCATTAAGCCGAATCGCATATCGTTCAATGACAGAAGCTTCTCGGCTGGAGCAAGATGTCTATTCCACACCGTTCAGATATCGATTCCCGTAGTTAGTAAATCGTCTTTCGAACTGATTCAACTTCTAACCACTCCGATTGGTATGACCCGGCTACAAATCAGCAGCGGCCGAACTCTACCCCGCCGCCGCGGTTCGTTTAGTGTATAATGTTTCGGAGGGGACCCAGGTATGCTTGGCTGCTGTTCCGTGTACGCTGAGGGCGGTTATCCGAACGCCGTTGGGTCTGCTGTGTACCTCCAGCGCGCGCGATGTAGGTGCGTCTGTGTGTCGTGTCGGGTCCGTCTCGGGTTCACGGGCCCCGGCCGGGTGCCTGGCTCGCTCGGCGCGTGGCGAACAATGTGTTACGGCTGTTTGTGTGCGTGTGCGGGGATGTAAGCGCGCCAGTGCGTCTGTAGCGTGTGAGTGTGTGTACATGACCTCAGAGCTGATGTGTGCCCTCGTTTCTGATCTGCTGTTCCGTTTTGTCCGGTGTCTTCTAACAGTTACTGATTAAGTTTAAGAAATTGAATGATATAGCAGAGTTTATGATTGAAATTCAATAATGTTCCATTAATATTCAATCAGTATTTCAGTTACTGATAAATATGTTTCTTCAGCTGTTGATACTTCAGCAGTGTCACGGGCGATTCGAGCACGATGATAACTGCCAACCCCGTGTTAGGTCTCACATGTAACAAAGCGGTACCTACCGTGTCTCTCTCCCAGCCGAAATTAATGATATTGTGACTGCGCCCGCGTTACTCTTCGCGCCAAACACGTTCCCAACTGCGCGCCAATAAAACGACTCGTGATCAAATCGTGTTTCGCTATTCTCTAGCACACCCAAAAAAGTGACCGCGTACGCAACGATAATCACCCCTCACACGCTAAATAAATAAAAACCTTTCGGCTTGCGACACGTGATTGCATGAATGTATAATTCACCCTACGCGCGTCGCGCGTGGTCGCCAAGTCACGGTGACCTCGTTGACCTTCCGGCGACCTCGGTGACCTCGGCGACGCGCGCTGTGACGGCGGCGGCACAGGTGGCGCCCGTCCCTGCCCCTCCCCGACCGGCGTGGGTCGGAGGGGGAGGGACTTAGGCAGATGGCACCGGCACTGAGGGTCACACAGGGGCGTAGCAATGTGTTACGCTGCGCAGTGCACACAGACGCGGTGATGTGATACTTTGCTGTATATACGACACAGCACAGCGCTGGTACACTGTATACAGACACGACACAGCGCTGACAACGACTTAGTCACTTAATGACTTGGAAACATTTATATAAAAAACACATGGGAGCTTAGAACATGCATGGTGCGTTTATCATTCAGAATAGTGCTTTCTATGGAGCACACTGTAACTGTATACCTTTGTCCTTTCCATCTGGATGTTTGAATCCACGTATTCTAACTCAGTGGGCGCAAAAGGACGTTAGTAGTCGTCGCGCCCAAAAGCCCCAATAAACAACAGCGTAGCCTCACACTAACCTACCTCAACTGATAAAGCCGTATCCCTCCCTTCCGCTCGTGTTTGACCCGCATTCTGCAGCTTTCTGTAACTCTCCCCTACCTGTGCCCTCCCCCCACACCCCCACCCTGGTGCTCCTTACCGGGTTCCTGGACGAGCGGCGAGGGCGCGCACTGGCACAGCACGCAGTCGCCGTCGTGGCGCACAAAACCGCAATCCATCGGGCACTCGGTCACTCCGCATACCCTCGTGTCGTAGTCTGGGGGGAGGCCGGAGGCGATCAGGGTTCGATGAGTGAAAATACTGCGGTGAAACTGGGGTTACAGGGGATGGGGAGATGATACTGGCTCACGGACAAGCTGCCTTTCATAACTTTAGATTGTGTTGGGATTGTTTCCTGGTTATGAAGCATGTCCGGCTTTCAATATGTCTCTATGTACGGACAGAAGTTGTAAAGGTATGCATATCTTGGATTTGTTCACGGTGTTGTATGAGCGAGATCGCGAAATTGATTAGCGAATAATTATTGAACATGGTGGTTAAAAAATTTGGTACCTAATTGTCAACCGTCCTGATCGTGAACTTGAACTTCAGATTAGTGCATGAGCAAATACTCCCAAACTACACAGATGATGCCTCGTTCAGTTAGGAAGTGGTAGTCTACACATACCCAAAGTTTCGGAGATGTTGACGGTAGATAGGGTGAGGGATCCACTGGTGTCATTCTCGGACTAAAGGAGCGGTGGAAAGGTCACTTTGTACGCGTCGTCTTCTGCAAAAACATTCAGCACTAAATCAGTGCACAATGCACATTCAGGGCATGGATTAATGCAAAAGCCTATGGTAAATTGCTGCACTCACCAAACAGATTTTGACATTTGCATTTGAAACTTGTGAAGGAGATGCAGTGTTTGAAACGGCAACGACCCTCCTCAAGACCGACATCACACTGTGTCGTATAAAACAACGAAGAATTGAAGCAGCTGCTGAATTAGTCATTCTCTAACCTTCGCAGAACCGGATGCACTCGTCAATGGTCTCAAAGTTGTTGGCGTTGCCTCCGCAGCCTCCGTAGAGGAACACCTGGCAGACTCCGAACTCAGCGTTGAAGTAGAACCGCATCTCGGACGCTCGGCAGGGGCCGATGACCTTCGGTTGGAGGCACATCTCCACTGCAGGATGGATTGGAGGGGGAGGATGTGGAGAATGATTGGGTTAGGATAAGAACGGATTGGGTACCTATTGGCTACTGCTTTCCTCAGTTATGAATAAAATCACCAATCTCTTTTGACTTGTTTGCCATTAAGATTTGTGCTGAGAAAGTCTTTTGGTTTGAGAGTCAGGATCATCGAATAGGATGGTAGCATCGAGCCAAGAAACCGACTGACTGATTTGGAAGATGGTTGTCACGACATTTCATATTAATATTCGGTGGATATGCCTTTTGCCTACTTTTGGTAAACATGCTTGAAAACAATGTTGGCCTTAGCTCTGAAGTCAGATTTACGACTATAACACCTAACCAGCACGCATCAGCACTCGCCCACTCTCTTTCCCGTTCGCTCTCACCGTCGTTGTCCCCCGGCTGCTCCGTCTGGTTGACATCCTGCTGCTCCTGCTGAGTGGCCTCGCTGGTGGCCTCCTGCAGGCCGGGCTCTCCCGTGCTGTTGTGCTCGCCGGAGCCGCAGTGCTCCTCACACTCCTCAACGCTGCTGTAGCGGTTGCCGTTGCCGCCGCAGCCGCCGTAGACGAACTTCTCGCAGGATCCGGTGGAGGGGTTGAAGGCGTAGCGCTCCATGTATGCCATGCAGAGGCCGCCGTCGGGAGCTGAGCTGCAGTCTGAGGTGTTGGTGCTGCCGGCCCCGGCTGGCGGGGGGAGAGGGGGGGGGGCTGGTTACGGCGAGTAGTGTGGGACAGCAGGAGCTGAAAAGGTTCTGGTTATGCTAGGAATTGATCAAAGTTAGAGACTTTCAGCTGTTAACTGTTACCTTTTTAGGTCTGACAATCAAACATTCCAGGCGTTACTGAATGTCGGCATCCCTGCAACACAGGTGCCGTACCTTTTTCCGTGGTGCACATTTTCTCGCAGTCGTGCAGCGTCTCGAAGTTGTTGCCGTTGCCGCCGCAGCCGCTGTAGTTGAACTCCATGCAGGTTGACCTCTCCGTGTTATAGAAGTAGCGAGGGATCACGCCCCGGCAGTCGCCAGCTTTGACCGGTAGTGAACAGATGGCAGCACTGTCCTCGTGACCTGCACACGGCGGATGGTGTGACACCATCATTGGACGGAAAGCACAGCCATGGACTTCACCACTTATGACCAGTATGAGAGGAATAGTGAAAAACAGAGGCATTGCAAAAACAGTACTGAATTGACCCTGACAGAAAATGAATCTAAATAAACAAAAAAATAAATGAAGAGGAATAAATGCTCCAAAGGCTTTTTCTGCGTGAATTGCTTTAAGAATTTAAAATAAAAGTCGCATTTTAAATTAAGCAAATTAAAAGAAAATATCGATTTCAGACAACGCTCATTTGACAAACGATTTTATGTTTTAGGGCCTTGCGATTTAATGTCATTGAACTTAGATTGTTTTGCCAAAAATCGAGACGAAACGTCTCACAGCACCTCTCAAAAGCGAAATAATACGATACCTACTAGAAAAATTAAATCTCTCTCTCGCTCTCTTTCCCCTCCCCCCCTCTCTCTCTCTCTCTCTCTCTCTCTCTCTCTCTCTCTCTCTCTCTCTCTCTCTCGCTCTCTCGCATATGCTTGCTCATATGTACAATTACTCACGGTCATCCTTATCTGGGCTGCTCTCTTCAACTCCGCAGTGAGAGTTGCACTCTTCCATCGTCTCAAAGTTGTTGGCATTGCCCTGGCACCCGCCGTACAGGAAGAACTCGCATGCGGCACTCTCTGTGTTGAAGAAGTACCGTGGTTTGCCTCCTCGGCACGGTCCGATGGTTTTGGGCAGAGAACAGGCAACTCCTGTGGCAAAATCGCGGTGATCGTTTCGTTTCTCCATCTCAGTCATGCTCTGCGGCTCATAAATGAAGTGTTTTCAAACTCGAATTCATCTAAGCGTATCCGCGTGTTCTCTCTACTCGTATCTAAAATCCAGGTGCAGTTGTTAGTGGTATATGGCGCATGACATTATTTTCGCTTTGTGTCTCCTGTTTTACAGCAATTCAATGCAAAACGTAAACTTGGGATAACGAGCACTCGCCACCCTATCCTTATGACTCACGCTGTGCGAGCTGGCGTTCGCTGGAGCTCTCTGCCGGGCCTCCGCAGCGGTCTGTGCACTCCTCGATTGTCTCAAAGTTGTTGGCGTTCCCCTTACATCCACCGTAGAGGAAGGACTGGCAGGCGCCGCTCTCTGTGCTGTAGAAGAACCGCGGCATAGCTCCGCGACACGGGCCGATCGTCTTCGGAAGAGAGCACTCAACTCCTGGGAATGGATTTCAGGATTAGAAACCAAAGATAAAGAAGTTGAAAACCGGGATGGTAGCAACTCATTTTCACGATGATTGAAAACCTTGAATAAATTTACCTTGTGGTAGCATTCATTCTTATAGCATTGTTTATTGAAATATACATTTAACTTCCAATCATATATCCGTAGTGCAATGTTTGATGTCAATTAGGTATACGAGTTCATGCTAAACTGAACGCAAAATCCTATGTCCATGAGTCATTCCTTTGCAAATTAGTCCCAAACACATTGGGCCGTACTCTGTTCCGTCTGTCTCTCCCCGGCTCCAGCGGCCGGGCCTCCGCAGCGACCGGTGCACTCGTCCAGCGTCTCGAAGTTGTTGCCGTTGCCATGGCAACCTCCGTAGAGGAACGTCTCGCACGCGCCCGTCTGGGTGCTGAAGAAGTAGCGTGGCATGGCGCCCCGGCACGGGCCGATGTCACGGGGCAGTGAACAGACATCCTCTGCGGAATAGATGGGGTGTGGCGATGATGGTTATTAGTCTGGACTCTGGAGGTCCTACTGACGTCGGAGTGCTTTGATGTTAGTGATGCATGTTGCACATGATATGCTCATACAATATACGATCAACGATAGGATACATTCTTCCATAGGTATCCTTTGAATGAAGCGCCGTTTTACACACATTTACTGTTATTTAAATTATAACCGTGATAAGAGTGCAGACATCTCAGTGGTTTTTGTGGCTGTTCTCCAGACTCCGGAATTCCCGCACCCACCGTCACCGTCGATCCGGATGACGCCGGCTCCGTGCTCCTCCTTGCCGAACATGCGGTCCATCCAGTCGGCCCTGCCGGTGCCCTCGCCCGCCTTGGGCACGGCCATCCAGGCCAGCAGCGCGATGGCCAGCAGGAGGGGTAGCAGCAGGGCCACCATCAGCAGGGTCCGCTGCATTCGGGACCTCCCCGCCGGCCCCGCCGGCTGCTTTGTCACCGTGGCCACGTATGGCGCCGTCATCTCAGCGGCTGGGGGTGCAGAGGGGGGGGGGGGGTTAGTAAGTGAGTGTGTGTGTGGGGGGGAAGTGAGTTTAGTTGAGTTGATGAGTGAGTGAGCGAGCGCGGATACAGGAGTGGGAGGAAACGAAACGAAACGGTTATATGCCGACCGGCGAGCACGAGCAACAGAAGCTTCAAGCTGGCATATTTGGTCAGTGGTCACTGCTATTTCCGATTGCTATATATGCATACGTATTTAGGCATACTTCTTCATTTTTGGTTGGTGGTGAAATGAAATGTTAACATTTTTTTTGTGAAACGTGCAAGGCATCCAAGGAACATTTATGGTAAAATGAGGCGACGCTGCTTGAAGAGACTGTATGCTCTTGTGTCCTCTTTTGTACACCAACTTTTGTTCGCTACAAAGAACAGCAAACATGACGTCATCCGGAACAGATGCTGGCTCTTCAGTGGAATGACTGGGAATATTCAGAGACAGAGACGAATTTGACGTTCAGCAGGACGCGGGTGTTCCACAGGTGTTCGGGTGTCGGTCGGACGCGGCTTCTGCCATTGTCGGTGCGGGTTTTCCGCTATTGTACTGACGTGGCAGAGCTCGGCGGCGGAGCGGTGCGTCATACATGCTGCGTGCAGCGTTGTGCACAACGTCGAATGTAAATTGTAGATACACGAGGCATAGAGGCATAAGGATGTTCAGAGTCGGTGTGGTCGTGGAGTAGCATTAAACGTAATCAGCAGTTACAATCAGATACCTACACGGAAAGTGTTAACTGCAGATGATAGGACATTTAACAGGAAGTGCGAAACTCTCCAAACCAATCGTAATCACACTTCTGGTTCTAGGTATGAGTGCCTTAGGGAGAGGATTTCTCTTAGAACGCTTGCATTTGGTAATTGTAAGCGTAGTTGGTAGGTTGATGATTAACCCTCGTAGTTGTGTTGGGGGGGGGGCGCAATTTGCCCCCCCTGTGTTATTTCCTGAATAGCAAGAAAACGGCGGCGCAAATTTTCAGTACCTTCCCGGGCATCAATTTGGCACCTTCACACCAAATTCAAGTCTTAGGTCATCTTAGGATAGGAGTTATTGAGGTCAAACTGAGGTCATGTTCGAGCAAAAATGAGCAAAAAAACACGCAATCTTGAAACGCTCACCAAATCTACAGTTACCAAGCAATTTCAAAGTTCTTTATATGGTCTAGTAGACAAAAAGCGGTGCTAGAAAACTGCTATCTCGGATTTTCAAAATTTTGGGTTTTTGACCCCCCAAAATAATTTTTTTTTTAGAAAAACTAAAAAAAATCCCAAATTTTTTCCGAATTTCGCAAAAACGGTATATATGTCATAGTCCCTGCGCTCTTCTATATACATACCAAATTTCAGATCGATATCTCGTTTTCTGGCCAAGTTATAGCGAAAAAAACATGTCCAAAAATGATGACGTCAAATTTTTTAACTAAATTTTTAGCGATTCTAGACCACGTAGGGCAAAACAAAGACCACCATTGAACTCCCCGTGACGAGCTGCATCGAATCGATACCCATTTTATGTAAAAATATCAACTTTGAAATTTGACCTAATTTGACCTGACCTTGACCTGACCTTGACCTGACCTTCACCAGAACATAATCTTAAGTGACCCCAAAGGCTGCCTGACCCACATAATCGTATTTGACATAAAATGGACCATAATGCATGCATCACATGATATTTTCATATTGTGACCCTCAGTGATCTGATCTCTGTGACCTGACCTGGTTTCAGTGACCTCAAATAGCAAAATATGTGTTTGAAGAACATTTCCCCATCGATGATTTTCAATGAAATGCATTTTACTCGATTTTACAACGCATTTCTTGAAATGCCTGTAAACGGTGAAAATTCGACCTTTGACCTGACCTGTGACGTCATCGGTTTGACCTAGGTCAATAAAATTGGGTCACAAGGTAGTTCCCTGATAGGGCTATCCAACACCGTTTGCCGCTTGTCGCTAGGTTGCGTGGTTCTCGAGATCTTAGGGGGGGCAAATTGCCCCCCCCCCCCAACAGAGCGCGTTGCTCGGCAGAGCCCAACTCAATTTTTAGGCGGGTTAATATCACGACACACTAGAAGATATCGGAAAGATCTCGGAACACTCACGATATACGAGTATGATCAGGTGCAACAGTAAGGTGATGCCAGTAAAGCAAATCATCCAAATGATCTGCCCGACCAGAGTCTATCTGCAATAGGTACAATTATGTTTCGCATGCCTATATTTAGCAAAAGAAGCGTTCTTTTACTTCCTTTCATCCATTGCGAACAATTTAAACTTTTCGGTTAATTTGTAAACTTGAAGCAGCGACAAAGCCATGGGGCTACTTAAAAGTGCAGCGCATCCGAGCATAACCAGAGCATAGTGAAATATATACTGAAACCGTATATATGATTCTGCAACCACTAGATATACACTTTGAGGACGTGTTACAAAGTTACGTGATTGTGTACAAAACGTTACTTTTGTGTCCTAGCTAAAAATATAATTGACGGACGAGACTAAATTACCTATTACAGTAGGGCCCAGATAGTACCACTGTAGGCCCTCAAAGACGGGGGAATATCGTACTCACGCACCGTGGCAGGCCATCTTCCCTGAGTCAGTGAGTGGCATGCGGCATTGTCGCAGTCGCCGTGTGTAACCTTGGCTTTCCCTCGATGAAAGCTACATGGCACGCTAAGACTCTATCGATCACCCGTATCGCCTTGTGGCGCGATCAATTCAGAATACAATTACCGTATTTGATCGAAGGAAATGGATGACAGTAATGTGTTTATGTTAACAAATATTAACGAGATATATGATTCAATGGTGTGTAATTTGAGAACTGTAGTTTCATAGTTATGAAATAATAACATGACTTCTTGTGATGGACAATGCTTTTAAAATTGATAGATAAATTGATCCCGTACTCAATTTGGGCTTAGAGATAGGGCTCTGTTTTACAGAATACTAGCACAGCACGCTGTCAAACTTAACGACTCACCTTTGTTTCCTCTTCTTCTCTCCACTATAACTCTTCTGTTGATGCAAAATTACACCACTCTTCTCCTCTGCTTCACCTCCCAGCTCTCTCTCTCTCTCGCTGTTCGTCTGTATGCTGTGTGTGTCTGGCCCGGTCTGCCGAGCGAGGCCGGCCGTGGCGCCGCGCCGGTAGCTGGGAGCGGGGAGGGGGGGGGGGGGCACAGGTGTGGGCCGTCGCCCTCCTTTGATAGACCACAATACCGGACACCTGTACACACGCTGCCGCTGTCGTCCGTGCCCTGTCACTAATGGTGCGGCCGTGCAGCGGTGGCAGAGAGGCCGGCGGCGCAGCAACCGAGACCGAGAGAGTTCGGGACGGTACGCCGCATATATCCGGCTCCCCACGCGCGCCGGATCGGTACGGGACGGGACGGGACGGTGCATTTATGCGGCCCTCTACGCAACCCTGACACGGCGCGGCATGGTACGCAGTGTCACGGCTACGATACGCAATACGCATGTCGTCGGACAAATAACCGATACAATCGGCTGGTATCGAAAGAGCCCAATAGGTGTGTACCTACATTGTAAGTACACCTCTTCTTTTGACGTCCAATGGCTGCTGTTATGGTGAAGCGTATAACTTTGAGAGATAAAAAGTGCAATATGTTTCAATATCTTCTATTCATTTTCACAAAAGAATCACTCCCAGCCCCACACTCCCAAATGATAACTAACATTCTCAACCCGTTATCACGATCGAGCAGTCGACAACGGGCCATGCGGTGCAGCATAACTTCAGGCGCATATCGTCCTGCCACCTATCGGACAGTACGAGCAGCTCAAGTATCGTCCGCCTCCAGTAGAGACTCGACTCTGCCGATTGCCGAAGCCCGGGATAACTATCGGTCTATACAAATCTGTTTCTGACTTCTGTATTATCCATTAGGCATTTTCGCCATTGCACATGGATTCTGTATGAGAGCATGACGACCTTAGGTCAATTTCAATATGTGTCATGTCATTTGCGGATGAGTAGGTAGGTAGGTATACCTATTTGGCTGTGCTGAGTGCTGACCCCTGACGTACGTACAGCCCACCGCTAAAGTAATGTAGGGTTTTACCAATCTCAACGGTTGGCTTTGACTGGCGATTGTTTAACCCTCGCACGACCAGGCCATTTCTCATAACACGAACGACCGGGGGGGGGGGTTGTTACGACCCCCCCTGGCGTTTCGAAACGGAAGGTCGTAGAGCTTAGCGGAAAAAACCAACGGATTGCTCTCAACGAGATCTCGCGATTGGTGGTATATTTTTTGGTCCTAGGTCAACATTTGACCTACTTATGACCGGTCAAAGGTCAAATTTTCCGAAAAAATCAAACTTTTTCAACTTTCCGCGGCGATTGCAGCAAAACGGTGGGAGATATCGACTTGAAACCTTCACTATCGTATTCCTTGATCAATTCTCTATCGTTTGGTATGTATTTCGTTTCCCTAGCTCTAGAAATGGCGCGTTGGGAGCGCCGGAAGTCGGCAAGGTCACAGTCGGCGGCAGAAATTCGAAAAATCAAAATTTAAATTTTTGAAATCTGATTGTATTTTTGGATTTGGGAGGTCCATTTGCTCCCTATAGAAGCTAATATTGCTGCATATTCCCATTGAGGTGACAAGAATTAGCAAAATAGTGGTTCGGGCGCTTTTCAAAAATAGTACCGGACGCTGTTCCTCTTGTGACGTCATAGCTCCGTGACCTGATCTGACCCGGTCAATTTTCTTGCACCACACGATAGCCAATGCTTGCCCCAACATGCATGGGAAGTTTCATCATGATCCATCAAACAATGTGGGTATCACCGGCAGAAAACCTAGGGATTCGGCGCACACGTTTGGTAACTGTCGGCCGGAGGCTGTACCTCTTATGACGTCATAACTCCGTGACCTGACATGACCCGATCATTTTTTTTTTCGGCAAAAGATGCGCAAAGGTTGACCCAGAGGGTATTGAAAATTTCAGCCCGCTACGACAAGCCGTTTAGCGTGCACTTCGAAAAAACCTCAGGGGGGGGGGGTTGATACAACCCCCCCCCCTAGGCGTTCTAGGGTTAATGCAGAGTGATCGAAAAGAAGATGTCAATAGATAAAGTTGCAGCTGCAAGGGTGACGATACATATAAGCTACATTCAAAGTTTCATTGTAGTCTGGCTAATCGTTCCTAAGCTTCAGAAGAAGAACATACCCATGACTGAAACCACACATTACTTCTGCTGTGGACTGTACCTATCAACGAACTTGGAATACCGAACAGAGGAGCCGGAGCAGTCTGATATTTCGTGCCTTACGATCAATTTATGTTAACAATACATCATTAAACATTAACCCCTCATTTGACCTATTGTTCCAACTTCAACCCCTCATACTCGTATCGCATGTGAGAAATGAGCGAAGAATATGTCTTCTGTCATATAGGAACCTTGGCCTCCTGCTCATTACAGTAAGGCGAGCTGGTTTCTTTACCATATGGAAAAAAGGCATAGGAATAGAAAGAGTAATAAATAAGCAAAACTCATATATTTATGGTACAAGTTATTTGCTCACAATGTCTACTTGCAGGTTCATTCCACCAAAACACATCCCTATGTATATCTGGCTGCAATTTTCATGGTCTCGATACTGTTTTCAGCGGACCACTGCTGGCCATGTTGAAGCAGGTCTGATATTCCCCTCCCTTCAACTGGCCGTCTCCGGCGCTGTGCCGCCGCCGAGCAAGGTTCGTCTCACTGGCCTGATTGCCTGCGGCGCCCGGCGACCCCTGAGACGTTCCTGGCGCAGCCGCGGCCTGATTAAGCCGCGGCCGGGTGCGCCGCAATCTGCCGCAGACGCGCTGCATATGCCGCTAACCGTGTTAGCGTGGCAGCCGGGCCGCCGGCGGTGGGCGGCAGGTGATACATGCTCCCACCGGGAGCGGCCGCGAGCTCGACTCGGGACGTGGGCTGAGACGGCTGCAGCCCTGCAGGAGAGTGCTGCAGCCCGGCAGCCAGCTGCAGCCAGCTGCAGAAGCCCAGCGGCTCAACACCGCAGCTCGGCGGTCGACCGTTGGCTATCACAGCAGCCATGTGTGGGCAGTAATCGCCACGCCATGTGTGGATCGCCCATGATCGTAAATACATAGGTACATACATACAATCCATTGCAATGATGATAGTGAACGTTTTTCTCTTATATTTCTTATTGCATTTTAATATGAAAACTCTAGTATTTTACTAGCGAGTATTTTATTTGTGATACACGATTGAAAAATGTCCTAAATAAAATCTAGTGAATTTTACTTGTGTTGGAAGGAAATAAAGAAGTTGACACGCTACTCTCAAAGGTGGCGTAAATTTCATGCATATTGATGAAACTATATACACCATCCAGTAGGTATTTGTTAGTTGTTTGAGGTAACCTCAGATGATAACTTTAAACATCGTTCCTTTCTTCTTAGGAACCAAGCAACAAAATCTGCATCACCTAATTTCCAACATTGAACTGTCAATCTGACATACCTTTTTCAGCTTATTGCCAACTTTCAATTGCTGCTCGACGAGTGAATAAACGATAACTCAAGTTCTAAGCCCCTGATGTCGATATTGTTACCTACTCGTTAACTTTTGCCACAGTTATACACTACACACAACTGTAAACAAAACTTGGAAATAACAGCTTGCTCTCCGACTACATATAACTTCGGGTCACTAATTCATTTTTTAACGTGGACAGCTAATTACTCATATCACTGAACCCATCCATTTTTCAAGTTCAGTGCATCGACCTCATACTAAACGCAGCCCCAGCGAACCCCTCGCCGTGCTTTGTTTCCATGAAAGGGAGCCGGGCGGGTTTTATTATCACCGCCGATACGAGGGTGACATGGCGTCGGTTGGTGGTGACAGGAGGGCTCCCACAGCGGCCTGCGACACCCTCCATCCCTTCCTGTAGGGATTGTTTGCTGTTCGTGCCCCCTTTTCCTCCGCTTTATGCCGCGCTCTGCTCGGCAGTCGGTCACTCAGTGCGATAATGTCGAATGTCCGTATAACATACAAAAGATAACATGAATAGGGATCAGATAAAAGAGGGAGATAGTTTTAGTCGATGGTGCAGTAATGCGCTGCCATGTGACGGCACTATTGACATGTGCCTGCAGTCGACAAGTCATTGGCAAGGCAACAAGTCCAAGGCATCTTGCTGTTCTGTTATTTTCTTATTTATTGTCTTCGTAATGATTGGGATTGCTGATCAGCTGGGCTGGGCTGCAGCATTCGTTCATTTCACTCTCCTCACCATCCTCCTCACTCATCATCACCATCACATCATCATCTCATCATCATCACCTGCCTGCACAGTGCACCCTCTCTCCGTAGTCCGTACTATCTGTGTTAGTGCTCACCATCAATGTCCATCGTCCTTTTCCCGCTCGTGTCTGTCAGCCGCCGTCGGTACACCGTTACACCACCCATCCCGACTGCCTGCTCTGCTAGCGGCAATAGAAACGCTGAGCGCCCATCGGCCGCGCGGCGTGCCCTCATCGGACGCATTTGCACATAATCCAATCGGGAGCGAGCCGCTCGATCCGAACATGATTGGCGACCGTGACTAGCGTGTCTGGGTCGCCGTCCCGCCGCCGTCCCGCCGCTGTCCCACCGCTCCGGCACCGCTCTCAATGCCCGCCCGTCCGCTCCCAAAGGAACTGCGGGAGCTCCCGCCCGTCCAACACAAAGCGCAATGGATTTAAATACACGGCCGGTATCGGCTGTGCGCCAATCATTTCGGCCATTAGGGCTACAATGGGCCAGGACGGGGGATCATATGACGGCGGCCTCGCGGCGAGGGGAGAGAGAGACAGTGGCGGCGCGCTGCGGCGAGCGGCGGCGCGGCGGCGACAGACGTGGCGCCACCTCCGAGCCGAAAGGACCAGCTGCAGAGGACCGGGGCGAGTGAGAGTGAGAGGAGAGCGCCGGTTAAAGGGAGAAGGTGAGAGTGAGGGAGGAGACCACCAGTGTCAACATTGGAGACGGCGCAACAAATCTGTCAATCGAGTGATCCGCTGCGGACTGAAGAACACCATCATTTGTCGAAAAAGGAGCATATCTCATCAAAAACACAACTTCAGCACATATAAAGGTGAGTACATACC